TGTGTGTGTGTGTGTGTGTGTGTGTGTGTGTGTGTGTATGTAAGGTTCCTTTTTAAATTTACTTTCAGCAATATTTGTAAACTTTTCCAGCAGTAAGTACTCCGGGTCGAGTCTCTGTGACTTTTATTTTGTGGGTTGAAATTTAGTGATCTAATAAAAAGCCAAAGTACATCCTAGTGTTGCCCGTTTGGGGCTATTCTATGTCTATATTTTGTGGGAGAGGTTTTGAAAGACAGACTATTTCAACATTGGCTTCTGTCCTACTGTAGCTCTATAATTATGCTACAGTAATATTACCCAACAGTAATACCAATGCAGATAAAAATACCCTTCGGGCCAATATGAGCTTGGTGCACAGTATAAAAATCTTGGCAGATATTATGTAACTTTTCCTCAGCTGATTTCTACATTCTCCAGTTGTAAACATCTGTTTTATTAAAAGCAGGAGGTTGTCTTTAGTGTGAAACATACAGAAGAGCTTTGGTCCAGGGCAGCTGTGTCAGGATAGGATTCCTTTGGAGAGATCATCAGACTGACAGCTCCTTGTGATCTCAGTACAACTGGGAGCTGTTTGGGTGGCTTGTGCTCGTGAATTGCGTTCACAGACACYGGCGGGGTTAGACACAAAAGACGAAGGGGCAGGGAGGTAGGAGAGAGGGCTCAGAAAACATTTCTTTCATCCTCGCAGGCCGTATAAAKGCCAAGCGGAAGGCGACAGAGGGTTACAGATACCCCTGTGGGACTCACGACAGTGCTGACTATTCAGGCATCGTTGAAGCCACACACGCTCAGGAATTTCTGTGATCTACGTAACATGAGTCAAGCTTTTGTCCCACTTGGTTCCTTTCTGCGGTAAGTTGGCCTTCAGATGCTGTAAAATCAAACGTGTCCTCCTCCTCCCCCTGCAGGTGACAGCTGACTGTCCGGTGGTGTGTCAATGCCCGGCGGTGCCCCAATCCTGTCTTCCTGGAATAAGTTTGGTCCCTGATGGCTGTGGCTGCTGCAAGGTGTGTGCYGCACAGCTAAACCAAGACTGCCATGAGGGACAGCCGTGTGACCACCATAAAGGCCTGGAGTGCAACTATGGCAATGATGTGAGCCGCACCCATGGCATCTGCAGGGGTACGTTACCACCAAGGTTGGCGGGAAGGTTGAGTCCTTCTGGTTCGGACTGGGCACAAGTCGAGGTTGAGTGAGGCAATGTGTAACATCAGGGTGGGGGGTGGGGAACCTGGGTTCTGATGCCAAGTGGCTGGAGTGTCTCTTTGATAGGAGGGCTTGAGGTTTGAAGTCCGTGCCACGTTTCAAAAACTGAACACCTTATTGAGCCGTGACTGAAACCTGGCCAACTCTGAGATTTATATAAGTAGTTCAGTGTGTACACAAACAACCCCATGAAACTCACAAACACACACATGCACACATCCACACACACACACAGAGTTATATTTACATGTGTTTATTGGGGGTGTATCCAGGGTGTTGTGTGGGGAGTCCCAGAGAATCACATTATACACGAGTCAAAACTCCCTTCTGGTCTAATAATACAGTTTATAAATTTAGAGATTGTGTCTCCTAAACTATCCCAGAATAGCAAGTTTACAATTTCATTTAGGAAAGTCTGTTAGAACAGGTTTGTGTGCAACAAGTTTTAGACTCATTCACACTGAGTTGCCATCCTGTCCTCCCCAACTACCACCAAAAAAAAAAAGTTTAGTCTTCTCCAATACTCCAGATATTGAGGCGTACAACGAAGCTGCTTGTGCTTTTGTTTAAGATGTACAGTTGTAGTTTTTATGAATGTATTATTCAAATGATTAATAATATTGGGATGGAAAACCATGACTGCAAATCAAAGCAATTCATTTAGTTTGAGCCAGTGATTCCCAACCTGGGGGGCCCCGTCCCCACCAGAGAGCACATATCCTTGGCTTCTCAGAGGTTGTGAAAATATCAATTTATTATTTGAGTATAAAAATCACCAAAACAAGTTCATTTGAATAATTAAAACTCTGTATAACTCAGTTTTTCTTTTCCAAACAAAAGTTTGTAATTATTCACTTTCAATCTTATTATTTTAAAATAAGAGATAAAGGTTGAACGCGATTTTGGAAGATGTTGGGAACCATGGTTTAAGTTATCAACCATTTAGTAAAGTTTGCGAAAAAGGCTTCTAATGTCAGCAAACTGAACAAAAAACTACATTCAGCTACAATATATGATTTTTGCTATATCAAAAGACAACTTTTTTTGTTCATAAGTGGAAAATAATGTTATATTCTATTTGTTTATCCATTTTTTGTAGCTGTTCAGGGCCATAGAGTTTGGTGAAATGCAGTGGTACACCCTGGACTACAGTCAATCACAGTGGTTATGTCCTTTGAGGAAAACTATTAAACTGAGCAATGCTTGTGAGGTGTTAAACAATATGTCATAACAAGCTGTCCTATTCTTGAACGATCTGTTTGTCTCTGTCCTCATTCTACACGACCATGTTTTTGTAAAAAAAATAACATAAAATGTGTGATAGATTGTTCTGCTTGCTGCCGTTTTGAACTCATGGCAAAGCTGAACAGTGAATCAGATTGATGTATCTCATYCAACTCTGATTCAGCACTGTTGACACTTTGAACAGATTGTTGCCGTTGATGATTTACAGATGGGAAAGACAAGGGTGACACGCTGAACTAAAGCTCCTAACATTTCCAGCAACAGTTCGTTGATGGCTTGGTATGGAAAAGGCCTAATTCACTCAACAAAGCTCAAAAAACAGTTTTTTAAGCACAGAAGGAAAAGGAAATCCAATAAACATGTGCTCTTTACAGATAGACTGGTTTGCTGGGTTTCACTTTTTGATCAACTGTTTCCTTTGTATCATTGCAGCAAGGGCAGATGGTCGCTCCTGCGAGTACAATGGCCAAATTTATCAAAACGGCGAGAATTTCCGAGCTGGCTGCAAGCACCAGTGTACCTGCATCGACGGAGCTGTTGGGTGTGTGTCCCTTTGTCCCAGCCATGTGCCCTTGGCTTCCCCTTCCTGTCCAACCCCGCAGCTCGTCAAAGTGCCCGGCCAGTGCTGCCTCAGCATCGACTGCCACAAGGGAACCACTGTTGTACCCCCGGCTCATGGCCGACCCCAACCTCCTGCCTACCCACATTACCCCTTCATTCCTTACCCAGCCTATCCCTACCATAAGCCTTATCCAAAACTTTACCGCAAGTTGTACCCTTACAAACCCAAAAAGGAGAAGAGTGTCCTGGGCAACGAACTGTTAGAGTTTGAGCGCAAATGGGACAAGCCACTTGGAGACAAACACCTGACAGGTAAGAGGCTGTCGTTTGTTTCCTCTGCGCAGTCAAGCATCGTGTTTACGTTTTAGCCATTTTAGCCCCCCTGACGCACAAACGGCCTCAATGTGGGCCTTTTTTCCCAGCATCTGTGCAGGGTGTGTTGGCGTTTGTGTGAGGCTTGTTTTCCACTGACTCCTTGCACACCAGATGAGCTCTCTCCTTCTCACACAGCCCATACCTCTGTCACGCAGCACTCCCCTTTCTCTAATCACCTTCTCTSTGTGACAGTGTTGCCTGGTCAGTGAATAAGGCTAGTGTGCCCTTCATCCACGTCTGCTTTTCCCTCTCACGCCCGATGGACACTTTTCTTCCACTTTAGCTTTTACTTATCCTGCTTCTCTTTCCTTTACTCTCCAATTTTATGATGCCCATTGTGGTTCTTCCTCGCCGACCCTTTCTTTCATCTCCTAGCCTGGAACAAGTTTGGAGATCACTGTACAGTTCAGACCACGTCCTGGTCCGAGTGTTCCCGTAGCTGTGGGATGGGCGTTTCCTCTCGGGTCACCAACGACAACGTTCGGTGTAAGATGATGAAGGAGACACGACTTTGCAACATTCGGCCTTGCAGCTCCATGTCCATCCCCGTTAAGGTGAGACTGTATGAGGTGCTTAGAACTCATAAAATAATACTCTTATCATCCTTTGCCTGTAAGGAACTCTCCTTCTCTGAACTAGAACAGGGAGGATTACAGCTTCAGTTCAGTCACTCTGTTGCTCTCTCACATTTCAAACACAACACTCTGAAGCATTCTGCTTCTCACTCGTGAACCCGAGAAGCTGTTCTGCACCTGTTTTTCCTCTGAGCGCTCTTCGTGTTTATGGAGGTGACGTGGGTGTTAACACGTACCCGTGTCTGTCATCAGAACTATTGTTAGCATCTCTTGTTCAGGTCTTAGTTTTGTTTTGGTATATCTTTGTAGTTAGCTGGCTTAAATTTGTTTTTATGTCTGAAGATGATGACTAATAGGATAATTTCAAGCAAACATCTCCACGGATATCAATGATTATTGATGATTTTCTGACTTATCCTGTTTGATAGTTCAAATATTTGAGGTAGGGTTTTATGGAAAGGTAAGGTATTTTATATAGTCCTCTAAACAAACTCAGTTTGGAGAATTAAAGCTTATTTCTGAAGCTAAAAATCTGACCACGTTGGACTTCTACTGCTTTAAACCGACTCCAATCTCAAAACGGTCCATGCAAATGCAATTACAAATACCCCACAAGTTTCTCAATACACAGTTATTTATTTATTGTTGATAACAAATAACAGTATCCTGTTTGGTGTAGCTTTCCCACAGAAATATAACAATATTTTTGGCAGAATACCTCTGTAATGTAAAATTGACAGTGGTTAAAGATTTATAAAGTAGTGTTCACATGAACCTCTGCAGTATTTTTACATTGAAAGTATTTAAAGATGCTGTAACTACTATAACTAGCTGTTAGCTCATCAAATGAGTAAAACCGCTATCTTCATATAAGATACTATTTGTTCATTATCATTCCACAAAACCTCATCAATTTCTTTAACATTTCTGATTTATTTTTACTGCATGAGGCTGATATTTTAGTGTCTGTTGCTTAATTAGTTTGGATGAAGTTGAATTCGTGTCCAAGATTTTAACTTTTCTCACTTTGTTTTGCACATTATTTTTACTTTGTATTTACTATCATGTCATGTCAATGTGTTAAAATCAAAGATTTACATTCCAGTTTCCTAGAATGCACAATGGGTGTACCACAAGGATCTGTGCTTGGACCCCTGCTTTTTAGTCTTTACATTAATGACCTTCCAAAGTTTTGTCGTGACGTAGAAGTCCAGTTATATGTGGACCACACTGTTCTGTGCATGCATGCCAAAACGGCTCAACTTGTGGCTGAGAAATTAACCAAAGCTCTGGAGGGAGTGGTTGACTGGTTAAATCAATCCTGTCTGACTTTAAAGTGAACAAAACAAAAAGCATATTTTTCTCTTAGACTAAATCGGACACCTCAAATTTAAACATTTATATCAAGGGTAAACAAATTGATACTGACTGAGTTCAAGTATCTTGGGAGTTTTTTGGATTCAAACCTCAACTACAAGAAACACATAAAATGACACAGACTGTTAGATATAGCTTAGTCAATTTTAGACATGTTAGATCTTGTTTGTCATTGGAAGCGGCCAAGATATTCATGCATGCACTCATTTTTTCACACATTTCATATTGTATTTCTTGTTGAGGGAAGCCAATGTGTCAGTAATAAAACCTGTAGAGTCTTGTTACAAACAGGCCCTCAAATTTAACAAGTCTTTCAGACACCATCATTGTCAGATTGTGCAGAAACATTACTTGTTTTCTTTTGAGAATTTTAGAGTTTTCTCAAATATGGAAAGAGTAAATAAAATTTTAAACGGTTTAGCGCCAATCTGTATGCAAAAATTTGTTTATTATCGTTCAGCTGTTTCTTTGAGCTTAACCAGAACATCCAGGCTGCCTGCTCAATGCTCAGCCTTTGGTCAAGCAGCTTTTTCAGTTAAAGCCATCACGCAGTGGAACGCTGCTCCCGATCATGTAAAAACTTGTAGTTCTTTTATTAGTTTAAAAAATAATCTTAAAACATATCTTAAATCTACCCAATGTTACAATCATTGAATTGCACTGGGTAATCGATTTTAGAGTTGCTTCTGGTTGTGTGGGTTGGGGTGGAGGTGGGCATGATTTTATGTTTGGAGAGTGGGGTGGGGTGTTTTATGTATTTTTTCAATTGCAAAATGTTTAATTTTATATTTATTTTTCTGTTTTTTTCTCTCTTATTTCTATTTTACTGTTGGATGTTGTTTTGTTTTTACTGTTTGATGGGACTACAGATGTAAATTAGCCTTAGTCTAAATCTGGTGCAACGCATCAAATTACGTTTTAATTGCACACTGTCCCGAACAAATAAAATCATTCAAAAAATAATAATCTTAGATACCACTTTAAGATTAAATGCTCTCGTAGCTCTAATAAACTAGTTTTCTTTCTTTTTTTTAAATCTTTTGTACCATAATATTTGCTTTTCTGCCTCCACAGAAAGGAAGGAAGTGCTCTCCTACCCACAAGGCCCCGGAGCCACACCGTTTGTCCTACTCGGGCTGCAGGAGCACCCGCCTGTACAGGCCCAACTACTGCGGAGTCTGCCGAGATGGCCGCTGCTGCTCCCCCCGTCGCACTCGTACGGCCAGCGTGACCTTTGTCTGCCCCCACGGAGAACACTTCAGCAGGTCCGTGATGTTCATCCAGTCCTGCAAGTGCAGCGACGAGTGCGACCACCTCAATGAGGCCGCCTTGCCACCCCAGCGGTGGCTCTACGGAGACACGCACAAATTCAAGGACTAGTGGTGTCACAGAGCGTGCCCTACTTACATTCCTCCATGACAAGTATAAAATACCCCTTCAGTAGCAACGTCAGTTTTAGAGTAGCTGCCTAGTGTGCCTTGCAGTGTTCACACATCAGAACAGCTTTTCTAGAAGAATATTTGGGAAAAAGTAGTAAAAGAAGGCTAAAACCTCATAAGCAGATGGCCAGACTAAGACATGGACGCAATAATTCATCATGTTTCTGCCACGCTCCAATTGCTCGATAAACTCTGGGACTTGACGGAGTGAAAGGGCAGGAGCAGAGACAAAAACTTTGCCTTGTATTATACTTCTTGTCTCGTGAGAGTTGCTGAAGGATAGATGCTACTAGCTGATAGAAAACTGGTTTTATAACAAACCAGCTGAACGTATAGACAATAAGGATTCTTGTAGAGGACTTGACAAGAACGGGCCTTTGGGAAGACTTTTTTTTTAAGTATTTATTTGCTGATATTTATTGTCAGGACACCTTGGCTTGCTACCAGGATGTGTTGGCCTTGCTGCAGTACATCTGGAGCATGGTCATGGCTAAACACGGATCTGAGAAGGACTAATCACAGTGGAAGACTGAAGGGGAACTGCCACACTGATCTAGAACTTGTCAAATCCACCAGTCGTATCTAATGATGGATGATGAAGACTTGAAGAAAAGCGGAGTTGAGGATTTGTAAAACTTGGGAGAAAAATGTAGACAAAATGCTGTTTATACGGCTGGACCCATCTCCTGCCTTGCCTCAACAAGAYGACTTTCAGCAAAGCACCAGAAGAACAACGCCTGTGATTCTGGCGTCAAGCAGTCGACCACCTAATTCTGTGCAAATTACATTCTCCGAGAGGCAGCGAGAGCGAATCAGCCCCCCTCTTCTCGGTTTTGCTGTAAAAATAAGATCTGAAAACTGTGCGTGTGATGAGGTAAACATGTAATTTGTGAGCTTGTGGGCGGAACAGCTTCAGAGCTTTAACTGGCCTGTAATCGAGCGGCACGGCACTGAAACAAAACAAGAAGTCGAGTCTTTTCACGTTAAAGAGGTGTCTGTTCCCGAAATGTGCTGAGTCGACTGTCAAGGCAAAGAAAAGCTTTGTTTTGACTAAAGCAACAAACTTTTGAAGAACTTCGTTATAAGTGGAGGTTCTGCTTGATTCTTTGATTTCTGCGCCTTGGATGATGACTAAAGCCAGACATCTTCTAACTGGTGTATGGATTAGATGGAGCACCTCTGAAACCTTCACTTCCCTCCAAAAAACCCTGAACCTTACAGAGATAGACAATTTGTTGAATTTGGAGATGCTGTGGTTTTGTGAGTTTAAAGGGACATYATAGAGCAGCTGTGTACAGATATCTGTAACTTCTTTGTTCTACCATATAAAAACCCATCATTTAATGGTTAAAGTGCATTTTGATTATTCTGATCCTTTATTGGCATCATTTGAAAGTCCAATTGCCTGACACTTTTATGCCGACTATAGATCATGGCTCGACACATTAAAAGAATGATGAGGCTACAAGMAGTTTTCTCACTTTTCTTGGAAGTTCGTATTTGTTTTTCCATTTTTGTTTCTGAATAAAGAAAATTTCACTCTGAATGAGTTGGATATTTAGGGGAAAGAAATTAATCTATTGTGGATAAAAAGCAGTTACAATGTACAGCCAATATCAAATGTTAAATACGCTACCAGTGGCACAGTAGCGTCACCTTGGTAATTACACACGTCTCTCACTCTGACAGTATTCTAAATAAGACAGGCAGAGAAGAAAATCAAACCTCAAATGCTGTAAGAAGTGACAGAAGCACCTGGTAGCATGTAAATTTTTGTCTTGTGTGAAGTATTATGTTTACTTTTCAGGTTTGAAGAGAAAACTGAACTCAGACACAAGGGAAGTCAGTGGGTTTGGATGTATGCACTTAAGTGTTTTAGAAAGAAATCTTTAGATAAAAATAAACTGGGCTAAAGACATCAAAATGTCTACATTTTTATGTCTATGTATAAATTGTATTGACAATGCTGTTCATATGAAAATGTGTCAATYTTGAGATTTTTGGAAATGTACATTTTCCTGCAACCAAAAACAGAGTTCACTAATCCTGATCGATTTCAATGCGTTCTTTTTTCTCAAAAACCTTAAGGGAACCCAAATTTTAAACCATGACTGAAATGGTAGCATAGACAAATGGTTTTGTCCCCTTAAATWTTCCATTTTAGAGCCAGAAATTATTGAAAYTACACCRCAAAAATGTATCCATCKAACCAAGTCTTACAATCTTATSTCAGCCAAAATGTATTTTTAACYTTGTTTTGAGACAAAYATATTTTCCACAATTTATGCTTTTAGGCATTCAGTTCAATAKTTTAATTTTAACCATTTAGATGATTTAACAATGCACACCAAAATACCAAGAGATACATGTAAGAGTTATCTTTATACAGTGTGTTTCGGTCATGTTGCTTCACCGAAACTCACCACTAAGTATCTACTCTGTCAATATAGAAGGCATTCCTGTAGAAAGTTATTTAAAAAGCTGCCATGTGTGTAAAATTTCTCAAAGTCCATTATCTGACAAAATCTTTTTGCACTGGGGGCAAAAAAAAAAAAAAAAATACTAACTTACTACACAAATATAGCTTGAAAAAAGAAACTTCAACCTGCTGAAGTATTTGTTACATCTCCTCAGGATGGCTCCCTGAAGCTCTGCTCAACACGAGAATAAATGAAAACAGGGTGGAGGTTTTGTCTTGTCAGGAAACGATAAAAAAAAGACATTTTATAAAAAGTTTTAATTAGGCAAAAACAAACCATAAAAAACAAATTAAAATCTCACAYACACCCTCCCAACTGACAAAAATAAAATGTTTTATGAACGAAACATGCAGAGCTTTTAAATCAACGGTGAAGCAGGTCAACTTCCAAATACAGAGACGGGATCCACGGAGGAGACTTCAGTTTGGTCRGAGGACTCATCTGGACTGTTCGACTGAGAGGAGACAGAGAAGAGGCGTTAGCTGAGCAACAAGTAACAGCTGAACATACCAACTTTTCACCAGCGGGTTAAACATGCAGGGGATTTAACGAGAGCTTCGGAGTTACATGACAGCCACAACTGTTGCCATAATTGTTATCAGTATAAAGATCTTAAGGATTAACTCAGGATTAAGTTTATGCTTTGATACATTAGTGCTTTATACATCCTAAATCCACAAATCGCAGTCATTCCAACACGTCAGACCAGGTTAAAAACTTACTGTAAGACGAGATGTCGATCTCGTCAGGCAGCTCGGCCACGTTGACTTCAAAGCGGTCCTGCACATCGTTCAGAGTCTTGGCATCGGTCTCATCAGACACAAAGGTTATAGCCAGGCCTTTGGTCCCAAACCTACCAGCACGGGCAACCTGACAGATCCAGGAAGGTTAGATTGAGTTAAAACTTAAATCTATTAGTTGCTAACAAAAAACAAGCATGAAATACAAACGGYTATGTTTATCTGTGAAAAGCTTCTCACCCTGTGCAAATAGGTGTCAGAATCTTCTGGCATGTCGTAGTTGAAGACGATGTTCACTCTCTCGATGTCCATCCCTCGGCCAAACAGGTTTGTCGCCACCAAGATTCGCCGCTGGAAGTCTTTGAATTGTTGATAGCGAGACAGCCTGCATGAAGATAAGACAGTCAGCTGAAGGGTTATCAGCATAGCTGCTGAAGATCACTGACCAAGTTCTGCTTTCAAAGCAATTAAACGATGATGTAAAAGGGATCCATGATTAGTTGTAACATTAGATTTTATTTGATAAACATTTATTTTAACTGTAAAATAAAGACTAAAAACACTGTAGGAT